AATACTCCTGTACTTAGAATACCCTCCTGAGCTACATACAATTTACCCAATGCTAACTTTTCCCTGAGGTACATAGAATACCCCCTGAGCTATATACATCACTCTACTTTGCTACATACAGTCTCTCCTGTACAAACAATACCACCCTGTGCTACATGCATAATATGTACCTCAGGGTGGTATTGTTGGTACAGATGGCTGCATCATAGCAGCCATCTTCACCTCAGTATGAACTGTTGGAAACTATTTCTTTATGTTTCTCTCGGTTTATAACAAGAAATTAGTCGACCTAAAATCCTTGTTTAAAATGGCACATTTTAGACTTGTGCAATGTGATTTACAATACCTGATTTTTTTATAATAGGTTTCACCCAAGATTCACACATTTTCTAATGAAATTCACTTGGGAAAATGTGTAAATATTGGATAAAAGTTGTGTGAATCTAGAACTCTTAGTGTAATTGTGATTTGAAAAATGAAACCTAAAACTTTTATTGTCTTTTAGGATTGCAGTGGGGATCTTCGACAAATCAACGTGATGCTGCCTCTCAGACACAGCCTTCTCACTGCCTAGACATCACTGGTAGCAAAATCATATTTAGTTCTGTGCATCGTAGGTCATCTATCAAGTCTACAGTGCTAATGAGCTACTTGGGCCATCAGGACCTTCCATTGTTGCCTAAAAATGTTGGCAACACATCTTGCGATGCATGGAAGCATGGAAATTGCCAGGGCAAAAACACAATTTCTCCATCTTCTGCAGAAACATCAGACTCTGAATGCTCTAGTCCCAGTCCTATTATTTTCTTAGATGAAGAAGGGTATCAAAAAAGCTTAAGAGCAAAACTTAGTCTTCCCAAGATTCCAGTTGGAAAAGAGGGTGTTGAAGACTCAGATTCAGAAATAAGTGAGTTCTTTGATAGCTTTGATCGGTTTGATGAACTGGATCCATGTTTAGAAGACAATGATAATAAGCCTATTCTAGGCAGTCCTCCTAAGAAAAGAAAACATGCTAAAGTAAGTGTAAGCACAGTTTGCATGAATCCACAAAAATTTAAGTTTGATCGCCCAACATTGTCAGCTAGTATTAAAAAACCAACCCCTCGTAAAGCAGAGTCTCCATTTAGTAGTATAATGAATGTACCAGAATCGCCACGCCCGGCAAAGACATGTGCTGAGGATAATGGATCCTTATTTAGTCCAATCAGATCATCTGCTTTTAGTCCCCCTGGCTCTGCTATAGGCTCAGAGGGTTCTTTTCAACCAGCAAGCCAAAATGAGGCTGCATCTTGTAAGGGCAAGTCTTATGTTGCCTTTAGTAATTATGCAAACCGTGTATGTGCTGATATGTTTGATTCGGTCTTAAAGCCTAAACCATCCTCTGAGCTTGCAAAAAAAGAACCTGAGAGATTTATAAAGCTTAAACGCAAATCGAATAATAAAGAATCCGAACGAAGAATGAAGACAAAGCATAAATCCATCAAAGGAGGAATTCAGAAATTTGCTGCAGATCTGGTGGAGAAAAGCTTTGGAAGTGCATTTAAAGACTTGCAAAGGGGGGTTTCTTCTTGTACTAGTGCATTGTGCCACCTAGCAGCAAGGCTAACATCGTATGTGTTTCAAATGGCTTTTTATGAAATTGGTAGGAGGCAGGCTTTTTCAATTAAGAAACAAGCTATTAATGGTTTAGCAAATCTTATGGTAAGCGAAGTCATGACAAGTGCTCTGCAAGAACTTCGTTATATAAAGAAACAAATGGTTACCAATGCAGTAACACGATTTGCTGCAGACCTTGCAGAAGAACTTGTTTTTGAAGGCATTATGGAAGTTTGCCAGTTCTCTCACCCACCTACTCCAAATGTGTCTTCTGATACACAGGCTTTTGACTATGAAGATGTTGTAGTAAGTTCCTATGCTAAGGATTTATCAGAATCTGTGATACAGGAGGCCTTTATCGAATTATCTCAAGTGAATGTCACTTTCACCACAGAAGCTGCTATAAGTGTTTCCATGGACAATCTGAAATATGTAGGCTCAGAAGGATTACATCAGTCAACTCCGTCATCTTCCTCTTCTCTTTGTGTACATAATTTAGCCTCACCTGCACCAAACGAGCCCAAGAGAGACTTTACCGTTCACTATGCTTTACTGTTTACATCTGGTCTTATGAGTTCCGTTCCTGTGCCTGTAGCTGCAAAAGTGCTAAGTCAGCATTCAATTTCCACTGACCATACAGACTTGTCTACCAATAACATGTGCATGAATAATGCAGATAATCATAATTTTTCAAGAAAAGACTTTGATGGACTACCATCTGACAAAGCCATTTTTTCTGCGTTTACAAGTTGTGTAAATGGTAGCCAACAAGAGCAAAGATATGTAGATTTTATAAAGGAGGATGCAGATGGAGTAAAACCCTTTTCCGTTACTATGGTAGATATGATTGTAAATGAGGCATATGATGTTATCAAATCAGCCAAAACTGTGGAAGATTATGCTGACATGATGACCAAAAGAATTATTGAGATACCTCCCCAACACCGTTCATTAGAAGGTGGTGCCCCACAGCAACAGTTTGCAAATGATTTGGCTAAAGGTGCTTCCTGGCATCCAAGTGGAAAAAATGCACAGTCTCTATCAAATAGATGGGATGCAAGTAAATGTAATTGTGATATTTCTGTTAATTTTCTTGGCTATCATACCCAAGTAGAACATACCTCTCTAAATCCTTGTTTTACTGCAAAATCTTCTGCAAAAGACAGAAAGTCTGGATCTGCTAATAAACATGCATCACTTACTCTTCTAGGGAATTCAAATAATGCTAACAATAAAGCCAGTTTGGGGGGCTTAACTGCAAGACTAAGTGTAGACAACAGTGAAGTTACAGACCCCCCACTGTTTGGCCTACAAAGTTGTTTTCCTCATATCAATAGCTTTTCCTCTGTATTGTGTACTTGTGGTGATGATTTCTTCATGGAGGATAGAAATTCCCATAATGGTTCAAATGTGACCTTACTGCCTGGCACGCCACCTTCTACACCTCTAATGTCTTATGACATGAGTCCCGTAAAAAGCATGAGAAAACTAAGTAAAAGACTGAAGGGGCAACTAGCAAAAGAGTTCTATCCTTCCACCCCACCATCTACTCCCCATCTGTCTGCTTATGAACAAAACAATATGAAAAAGGATGACTTCATGCTTAAGCTTATGAGGTCTCTCTCTGAAGAGGTAGAAAGTTCCAGTAGTGATGAGAGCTCTGAAGAGTTTGAGGTATCTGAAGAAACTTGTCAATATGCTGAATATTTGTCAAGCAACATCATATCCATTGCTACCGACATGGCTGCTTCTTCATTAGTTGACGAGTCTGTCCAGGCACCACCAATGAGAAACCGGTCACAGTTAAGCATATTGAGTGACAAATGGGGATACCCAGCCTACATGAGAAATATTACAGAAGACCTTTTAGAAACATTATGTTCATATGCTAACTGTGTTGCTGGTGAAGTCATTAGTGATGCAAAGGAAGTACTGGGGAGCAGAAAGAACTCAGCCTGTGACCTGGAATATAGCAATTCTCGGAAATCTGATAAAGATTGTAGACCTAAAGAAAGAGGTCATAATTACACAAGCTTTAAATCTTCTGATGCAACAACTCTTCCCCTGCCTCATTATGGAGGTGGCGGTTTGACCTCAAAATATCCAAGCTGTGAAAGCGTAACTGAGGAATATGCTGACCACCTTATACGGGTCCTAAAAATGGAAGGAGGGAGCAGTGAGTTAATAATGGATCAATATGCTAGTAGATTAGTTTATAGAGCTATGAAGTCTGGCTTACAGCAGGCCTCTAAAACAGTTAAGCTGAAGTGCAATAGGAAAATCATGCCTAGAATGAAACCTGAAGCAAGTAGTAACAAGGACCTATTCAGACTTTTGGGTAGGACTCACCATGCAGGCAAAGACAGAAGACAAAGTAATGTTATCCTCCCTTCTTTCACTGACGACTCTGCACACAAAACAGAGTTTAATAGGCTAATTCATTTTGCAGAATCTCTTGCCAACACTATAACATGTGATGTAAAGAAAAGGTTAAAATTGTCTGCTGCTTCTCTTCCCAAGTCATTAACGGATTCCTGTCTTTATACAAAATCCAGAAACGATTATGTCAGTGGAGAGATTGTCAAAACCTCATTTCCCAAGACACCTTTACTATTCTCTCATAAGCAGAAGCTCTATCACAGCACAGGTAGCTTGAATGATAATGGTTATAGTGAAAGTTTTATACAAGCTATTGAACAATATGCTTGCAAGGTTGTAGATAGCACTTTGGAATTCAGCTTAGAGCGGGCCAGGCTGCAAGCGATGGAAAATAGAAGAAAAACTGACAAAGACTCGAATGCCGCAAAACTTGTACATTCTTACGGAACGGCTTGCAGATTATGTAGTGCAAAAGAGCAGCAAGGAAACCCTTTGTCATCCTGTCACTTCTTGCTGGGACATGACGTATCCAGAAAAATTAAACAGTGTGCAAAGTCTAAGCAAAATTCTGGTCAAAAATCCAGACTTTTTCATCTGAACATCCCCAAAATTCAAATAGACCTCGATAAGAGAGCAATGTTTGCTGATAAAATAGTAAGTGCGGCTATTGAGAAAGCGGAGCGTGAACTCAGCAACACAAGTTTGGCAGGTGATAGCGGTATTGGACATGATGGGGTCAGCTTTGCCGAAAGCCTTACCACTGAAATCTTGATGTCTGCAATGAAGAATATTGGCCAAGTTGTTAATATAAGGTAAGATGTGATTTCATTCTGCTTTCATTTATTTAGTTATACTCAGTCATTCTATGCTGACCACTGAAAGAATTTTCATTCAGGTTCTTTTTACCAGAATTTTTAGAAAACATTTCTGGGTGCCAAAAATTTGTAGCCTTGGAAAATGTTCACTATTTGTACTTAAAGCTGCTTCTCGACTAGACTTGAGTATTAAGCTGGCTGTATATTTTTGGATTTAATAAACAATGTAACATATACTGTCTATAATATACATAGGATTCAGAGACTGTTGCATTATACTGCTGATTACAGGTGGATTTGGACACTGGCAAACAAAAACAAATTGGCCAGCCTGATATAACCCCTCCTACTCCCAACAAGCCTCTTTCCTTTTTTGCTAGTATCCAGAGGGATGGACATCTTTTTATGCTCTTCTGAGAAAAGTCTAAACTTTTTGATAACTTTTTTTTGTCAAGATTCCTCTGCAAGTTGTTTAAACTGCTTTCTATATGGATTCTCAGCAATAATTTTGGTGGCTGTACCCACACCCCGCTGAAAAGGACTGCAGGGCTAGCCTGGAATGTGAACTTTGGGCACTGGGCTCTGCACTGTGGCATTTTCCAGACCTCATTGTGCTGTTAGCCGGTGAGTGCTTTATGGGCCTTGAGCCATGGTACAAACCAAAGTGTTACCTTTTTTCGGAAGACTCACTTTGTGAGTAGGACATGTGGGCCAAGCACTGGAAGCTATCATTGGGCACCATTTGAAACCCTGCTTTCGGTTTATCACTGAAATAATTAATTCTGAGGGACTGAGTGCTGACCTCATCTGCTGGGTGTAGTGTTGCCTGCTTTTTCCTGCCGTTCAGCATTGAAGCACCTTCCCGCCACTGCTCCTTACTACGTGTGTCACGTGATTATATCCTCAATTTGTCTCTGCTGCCCACCTACAAGCCCGTGGTTATTTCCAGGCACCTAAACCTTTTCTGCCACCTGCTTTATGTATTCAAAGCCTAACTTTGTGCCCTGAGCTACGTTGCCCCTGCCTTGCAGCGCAGTATATCGGATCTTGGACATATTGGGGAACAGTCCTGCTGTACCAGAATCCTCCAGCTCACAAACCAATAATGTTTCAGTTGGCCCACTGAAAGGCCTGACACTGACATCCTGAAATGTTTCACTCTGCTTTAGTCTGTGCCATTCTCTGTGTCCTTCCTAGCTCCAACATCTCAGATGGGTGCGGGCGGTTGGTTCCAGTGGCTTTCAAATAGAATTCAGCTCTCAGCACCCCTTCCTTGGTTATGTCTACAACCTGCCTGTGTCAACTCAGATTTGCAGATCTCAATGCAGCCCTTGCGGGTCTTCTGTAGCAGGGGGTCATTGCCCCAGTGTCTGTGACAGAACGGTTTCAGGGGTTATACTCTAGCCTTTTTACAGTTCCCAAACCAAAAGGGTGTATCTGCCCAAAATCTTGAATCTAAACGTTTTCATTCAAACTCAAAAGCCCTGCTTGGAATCCACCAGGTCTGTCATAGCCCTCTCTTCCATGAGGGAGACTTTCTGTATTCTATAGACATCAAGGATACGCACTTGCATGCCCTCCATTTTTTCAGCAGATGAGCGATTCCTTCGCTTTGCTGTGGGTCTCCAGCACTTATAGTTTGTGGCCCTGCCATCTGTATCTTCTGTGCCTTGAGCTGAACTTCACGACTGGAAGGTCACCCAATCAGAATTCAGGTGGACAACGCCACGGCAGTAGTGTACATCAGCCATCAGGTAGGAACTAGTAGTCTTGCTGACAGTTGAAAGGATTCTCTCTGAGAGTCTCTTTTGAATTAGTTATTCCTGCACTGCAAACCTTAGAAAGTCTACATTCCACAAGATCTAGCATCACACTTGGACACCATACTTCATCTGTTGCCAGGAGAGAAGCTTTTCACCACAGGAAATAATACACGGGAATAATCCTGATCTGCTTGCATTAAGGTTTGAATCAACAATTGAACCTGAATACCGTCTGGGATACATCCCAGTGCTTGCAAATTATTCTAGGACCACTAGCCTTCCATTCCTTGATAAGACTTTTATTATAGGGTGTGACCTATGTAGTTCCTCCTAAATGAGTTCCTGTGACTTTGTTGGATTTGACTATGGTTCTCTCGGTGCCTCAGCTCTTTCTAAACCTATTCCTTACCTAAGAATGTTCCACCTTGCTCCCTGTGTATCCTTCCTAGTCACCTGGTGATCCCTTCTGCAAGTCATGTTTTCTAAGCTGGTGGCCTTGTCCTGTAAAAACTCTATTTGATTCTACACATACATTTTTTTGTTGTTTAGAGATTTTCTAGACAATCCATATGGAAATTCATTTTGAGAGAAGAGGGGATGGCAAACAGATTGTGATGTGCTCTTTTTATAGAAAACCTATAATTTTCTATGACTTCTATGTTATGGACACACAGTTTATTAAATATTTATGTTTTAAATAAAAATGTTATACACTAAGAGAAAATATACATGAAATCAAACTAATATAATTTCCCTTTGGCTACCTGTCCTCTACACCAGTTATAAACCAACAAGGGGGTGGTTCTGTTTGAAAAGAAAACTTGGCTGGACTGCAAAAGTCCTGTTGTGACTGTTCTTCTTTTACCCATAGTGGAGCATGGTAACTGAAACTGAGCATCCCTACTGTGCAGAAGAGATTTAAACAAAGGTGTGGTCCTTGGCAGGTTGGGGCTGTCGGCTTAGGATATGTTTAATCCTACATAATATACACCAATCAGCCACAACATTATCACCATTGACAGGTGAAGTGAATAACATTGATTATCTCCTAATAATGGCACCTGGAACTGGCCTGTACAGTATTAAGGTGCCCATACACCTTACGATTATCGTACGATAATTGTATGCGATCGACTTTTCGTACGACAATCGTAACGTGTGAATAGAGTGCCCAACCGATAGTACTGTACAATCGTACGACTTTTGACGGTCAAGCATGTTTGAAAATTTTGGTCGATCTTACGATGTTCGCATGGTTGGTGGCGTTTCCGTCCGCCAAAAGTCGTACGATTAACACTGCGCAAACGAAAGTAATTGCGGTCAATTACCTCAAGTCGTTCAGGTGTTTTTTTTTAACTACCGCTGATTGAACCTTTCGATAATCGGGGCAGGATGGGGCCGTCGTACAAAAATCGTACAACGGTTTGATCATCGGACGAAAAGTTTCGTCCGATAATCGTAACGTGTATGGGCACCTTTAGGCAGCAAGTGAACATTTTGTCCCTGAAGTTTGACACTGTTTGTCAGTGTCCAAATGCTCCTGTATTCTCTTAAACCTGTGTCCCTTTTTTGGTAAATACAAAATTCCTGGTTTTGTGGACAGTATAATGTTGGATCCTTGGATGATGATAATATTGTGATAGCACTGGGGGGAAAAACAGAACATATGTAGGGACGAGTCTCTAAAAGTGCCAGTTATGTAGAACTTGTTAAGTCACACAGTTAAAGCTTAATACATTATCCTTGTTCTCTTTAGTTCCATCGGAAAGGATGGGTTCCAGTCAGTGGACTCAGTGACGAGCCAACAGACCAGTGTTAGCGTTGGGGATGACAGCACAGGCAGCTGGTCCAATCTGAGCTTTGAGGATGAACACCAAGATGAAAGCAGCAGCTTCCTTCACCTTAGTGACAGGTACATGAAATTGACTAATATATATACAGGTGAAACTCAAATAATTAGAATATTGTGCAAAAGTAATTGCAGTAAGTGCTGCAAAAGGGGCCCAAACCAAGTATACCAGAGGAAATGCAAAATTCCTCATCTTAATATTTGTTCCAGGTCTGTGAATCAACGTACTGAGTATCAGTGTAGCATCCAGAGAACTATCATTTTAGGAGAAAGATCAGCAATGTCAGCCCTTATATTTACTTTGTCAGGTGCTAATTTATTGTGCTCTGCTGACTAGGCAGAAATATTTTTGTAGCCTAGATTTGTTTTCAATTGTTTTAATATATTTTTTTAATTATAAAAATACATTTTATATTACTAAAACCAGTACATTTAAAGTAATATTAAAGCCAAAAGGTTTTTAAGCTACTTCAAATTATGATTTAATAACTTACAATGAATGCTGCTCCTTTTATGTTTAAAAGTTTTTTAGTTTCTTGCAGAATCAGTTGGCCAGCTGAGCAGTGGCCCTGTTATCCTGTTTTAGGGTGGCTCCTTTCCCTAGCAGGGTCCTATGGAGTCAACCTCGTGTGTCCTAGTAACCTAAAAGCAAGGAAAGCCACTACCCTCCCCCTGCTCCATTCTTCTCCTTCCTCCTCCCTTCTCCAAGCTGCTCGATGAAGAGTTAGTGGAGGCTGCTTAATTCCTTGTGATCGTCTACTGGTTAGGGAAGCTGAGCTGAGAGATTTGCAGCCAGCTGCATGGAAATATGATGCCCATTGCTGGGCAATGTTTATATGCTTGAACTGGATTCATTATTGAAAAAAAAAATTGAGATTTTAATACTGCTTTAAATTCACCCTGTACAGTACTGTTGGACAATGCATTACTCTCCAGCTGTGATGGAACTGTAGTTCCCAGTTTGTCATTCTGGCTTTTATTACCATTCACAGTTGTAGAGGCACACATTGCCTGGTCCTTCAGTTATACTATCAGACACAGTTATAGAGGCACACATTGTGTCTGGTAGTAAAACTACAGGACCAGGCAGTTAGAGGCACACATTGCCTGGTCCTGCAGTTTTATTACCAGACACAGGTTTAGAGGCACACATTGCCTGGTCATGCAGTTATACTATCAGACACAGCTATAGAGGCACACATTGTCTGGTCATGCAGTTATACTATCAGACACAGTTATAGAGGCACACATTGCCTGGTCCTTCAGTTATACTACCAGACCGTTATAGATGCACACATTGCCTGGTCCTGCAGTTTTATTACCAGACACAGTTATAGAGGCACACATTGCCTGCTCCTGCAGTTATACTATCAGACACAGCTATAGAGGCACACATTGTCTGGTCATGCAGTTATACTATCAGACACAGTTATAGAGGCACACATTGCCTGGTCCTGCAGTTTTACTACCAGACACAGTTATAGAGGCACACATTGCCTGGTCCTGCAGTTATACTATCAGACACAATTATAGAGGCACACATTGCCTGGTCATGCAGTTTTATTACCAGACACAGTTTAGTAATACAGAATTATTATTACTACAGAATGCTTTTTGTAATTCAATGTCAAGGCCCAATTAAAAGTTTACTTTAAATCATCTAAATACATTCCAGATACAATAAAACAAAAGGTGTGCAAAGTCATACAGTTTGTTTTCTTTAAAAAGCATCTAAAGCCTGATCATCAAGGCTTGTCCCCTTGCAGCATGATACAGAGAAGGACTGTGGTTTTGCTGAAAAGGTTTGACACACACCCCCTTTGCTGAGTCAGAGCTAGAGCTCTCTAATCAGAGTGCTTATTCCACATGAACAAGAGTCCATGTCTGCCGCATGCTGACAGGGGCAGGCGTTTCCCTCAGCTGAGGCTTCTTTAAAAAAAAAAAACGGTAAAACTTTGCTAACTTTTGGTTTGACCGCCTGGAATGTATTTAGCTTATTTAAACTGAACGTGCAGTTGGGCTTTAAAGCTTTGCTTTCTAGTCCAGTCCCCAGCCAGCTATCTTTTGCTAGAACTGGCAAACGTATTTACGCACGGGTTTAATGTATGGGTTTTGTTTGGGTGCGGCTTGTGTACTGAACTCTATAAATGACCTCCCTGTGTGATTGGCCTACTCCTTTTCTGAGTGGTTTTTAACACTGGGACTGACCATTTGACGATTGCAGAAAGACCTTAGCACTCGAAATGTATTGGAATCCACTTGTGAGTTCCAGTGCAATGACAACAGCTAGGACACATATTTCTTGCAATAAAAGTAACTGACTGGGGAAGTATTGTTTTTTTCCACTGTAAATAAGGATTTACAGTTTAAGTAGGGCAGCACACAGAGAAATGTTCATGTTTACATTTTGCAAATTATATTTCACTTTACTGGAAACAAATAGGTTAAGATGTGTTCAGATTGATTGCTGTGGTTACTTAACCATCACATGCCCTCTCTGCACTTTCCTATATCTTGTTCAGTATGCCTGATAGATTTGTTTACTGCTTGTTTTGTTGAAACTTTCAAAACAATGTATTTCTTAGTCTGATTTAAGCTATGAAACTGTGAAAACAGTAAAAAATACATCATATAAGCTACTATATAACAATTTTGTGTGTACGTATATATGTACGTATATATATCTATCTATATAGATAGAGATATATACATATCTCTATCTATATAGATATACACGTGAAACTCGAATAATTAGAATATCGTGCAAAATTAATTGCAGTAAGTGCTGCAAAAGGGGCCCAAACCAAGTACTGAGTACATATGCATGCTTGTACTTTTCAGAGGTCCGATATTGTTCTATGTACAATCCTTGTTTTATTGATTGCATGTAATAATCTACTTTTTTGAGGTTGTGGATTTGGGGTTCTTGGGGTTTTCATGGGCTGTAAGCCATAATCTTCACAATTATGACAAATCACGGCTTGAATTATCTTGCTTTGCATGTAATGAGTCTATCTCGTATATTAGTTTCACCTTTTAAGTTGCATTAGTGAAATAAATGAACTTTGCACGATATTCTAATCGAGTTTCACCTGTCTATAGATATAGATAGATATAGATCTATATCTATATAGATATATATAAAATTGCCAAAGGTATTGGTATTGGGACACCCCTCCAAATCATTGGATTCAGGTGTTCCGTGAAATTTCCTTGCTACTAAATATTCCACGGTCAACTGTTAGTGGTATTATAATAAAGTGGAAGCAACTGGGAACAATAGCAACTCAGCCAAGAAGTGGTTGGCCATGTAAAATGACAGAGCGGGGTCAGCGCATGCTGAAGCGCAGAAGTCGCCTACTGTCTGCAGAGTCAATAACTACAGACCTCCAAATTGCGTGTGGCCTTCAGATTGGCACAACAGTACATAGAGAGCTTCATGGAATGGGTTTCCATGGCCGAGCAGCTGCATCCAAGCCTTACATCACCAAGTGCAATGCAAAGCGTCGGATGCAGTGGTGTAAAGCACGCCGCCACTGGACTCTAGAGAAGTGGAGACGTGTTCTCTGGAGTGACGAATCACGCTTCTCTGTCTGTTTTGGCGGTTGCCAAGAGAATGGTACTTGCCTGTAAGGTAAAAAAAATATCAAATACATTTATATAGTGAAGCTGGATAGATGTGGAAGTCGCTGCACATACTAGCAGCAATTTTAATTGCTTTTTGCATGCCTTATGTCCTTAACCTGTAAAGGTTTGGCATTTCCTTGTTGTGATGAATCTTGTCCACCCCATCTCTCCTCCCTTCTGTTGGCCAGTGAGGAAGCCCGTTATTGTAGGAATGTGTGAGGGAGGGGGAGGTATCTGTAAGTGTTGGACCTTTGTCCATTCAGAATTATATATTTAATTGAATTACATTCATGGAGATAAGAATAAAATGATGACCTATGCTGTGGACAGAATGCATCAATTAAGAGATATGGTGGTGGAGATAAATAGGCACTTAACAGGATAGCTTCTACATGCTTCTAATATTCAATACTCAGTCTATCAAAGTTGAAATCATAGCAGCACCACAGTGACAGAAGAACAGTTGGAAGCCACATCAGATTCTTATTCCTGTCTTGGTCAATACTAGATTCACCTTCTTTTTTCATGGGGACTGTTGTTACTGGGGCAGAAAGTGATGGAAAATTCTAAAGCTTACAGCTGTTATGAGGATAGGAGGTGAAAGTGAAGGGAAATCTTCCAGTGGGCACAACTTTCTAAAAAGATTCTCCTCTCACTTTGTAGAGATTTCCTCTTACTTCCTGTTGTGTCTTCGGCAAAGGAGATGAAGGGAAATATGCCTAACAAGACACAGACAACAACAGAAAAAACCTGACAGATCTAACCATTACCAGCTCACCCAGAAACTAAAATAAAATGTTTGATAGTGATCACATTTACGATTGTTGCTTAAACAAGAGGATAAAGGCATGCCATTGCCATTCTTGTCAGATGCCTTGTTTTCAGTTTGAGCACAGCTGCATGCATGTGAATTGAAAACAGCGTTTGACTAGACCGAACATCGACATAAACCAGAACACTATGGGATCTTTGCTGGAAATTCTAGAGCACTTCAAGAGGGACTAATACAGATGGAAAAGGGAGGCCATACTATTAATTAGGAGTGTGATGATAATATATTATTTGGTGTTTCTTTTATTTTGTCAGCCTTGTATATTGGTGTTGTATTAGCTCTGTTGCCTAACTTTTGAGGTTGTTGAACATTGTCTTTTTCTGGTAGTAATGGTAACAGCAGTAGCTGGAGCAGTCTGGGATTGGAGGGAGACATGTGTGAAGAAAATGTATCCTTCCCACCATCAGACAGGTTGGTTTAGCTAGAGGTATTGCATGCCAAACGCCTAGTCTCTTGTCTCGTTGTGCATGAAAAGGTTCACTGGGTTTTTCATAATTCTGCATGTTTTATCCATTTTTTTAGACTGCTATGTTTTGACTTTCTTCAGCCTTCTGCAACCTTTATTTTCCCACAGCATGGATTTCCTCATTCTTTCTTTAGGAATAGTCCCAGTGCCATAGACTTGTCATAGAATAGTAGTTGATTTTTAAATTGACAATATAGTCTATTGCTACAGCTGTTCTTTGCTAAAAAAAAGTTTAAGGTGTGTTCTATTAGTTTTCAATCAACACAGTTGCAGAGTACATGCTTTTCAAGACGGAAAATGCTGAGCGGACCTTCATATTGCATATATTATGGGCCCCCAACTCTACAATCTTATAAATGTTATCAGTTTCAAAAAATAAAATTCACAGATTAGAATAGCCACCTGTGTTGATATGTCAGTTTTCGATGCTGCAAGGGGTAAAATCTGCATATAAAAAAGTCAAGTTAAACTGTAGTCAGTGTTGTGGTTTTTTTGTTTTTATTTCAGTTTGTTTTCTCCGTTGGAAAGGTTTCCCTAAACTCTCTTTGTAGACATCTAGACAGGAAGCATAATCTCTCCAACTGGGACACAAACACTAATAGAAATCTGAACTTCTATTGTTTCCTCTAACTAATCAAAATAGGAAAACAATTGTCTGGCATTCCACCTTAAAAATCTGCATCATTTGAACATGTCTAAGGTATAGTTGCAATTTGGCCTAGTGCACAGCTGGCATAAACCAACCCAGACTCTAATAAAAGCAAACAACCAGCATTAAGGGTGCTGTGCACAGAAATAAAAGTACACTGGGAACTGTCTAGCTGTTTTGGTAGTAAGTTTTAAGTTAATATATTTTTAGCATTAAGACATTAGGGGTTTTGCAAATTTTTTCATCTTCCTGACGCTTTGGAGAGGTGAGACAAAGCACAGAGCAGAATTTGAATATTTAAATGTAAAGAACTAATTCATTTTGTGTCCCTACAGTAAGTGTAATGAATAGAAGTACCAATGCTCCATCATGCCAGAAGAGCAATTCTCAACCTTATCTCAGTCATGGCACCTTTTTGAAAGTTTGCAAAATCTCAAGGCACCCCAGTGTAAAATGTAAATGTAAAAAATGACTTGCGGTACCCCTTTTTCCCCAATACTAAACCCTTATCCTAGACAGGGGTCTGGTATAGATTTTCAGGGGGGTCATAGCACCCTGGTTGGGAAAAGCTGGCATAGAGAATCTATGTGCAATAATTAAGTCATAACAAAGCCAGTAAACTACCAAAATTGTATGCGTAGCCCATATTGTAAAACGTTTGTGTCACCACAATTTTGTGTATGAATAGTTATAAATTAGGATTGACAATGGAGGAGTCACAATAGGCAGTAAACACTTTTTGAATGAAAAATGCTACGTTATCCACAACAATAATAGCAAAAGCATAGAAAGGATGAGCAGCAAATTCCTGTAAAACTTCTTAAAATTTTGATGTTTCTCTTTTCTGTGGAACAATCAATATCTTAGTACAGCAGCAGCAGAGACTAACCTTGTCCAACCCTTGTATGCATGCATTTTGCATGAAAGAGCCCAATCTGATCAGTTTGTATTATTTGCATGCTCTTTTCTTGCATGAATAATCTACACCTGTATGTCCAAACATCTTTTGTTCTGGGGAAAAAATAGATTTTGGTTTTATTATTTATTTTCTTTAAATGTAGTGATGGAGCTGAAGAGAAAGATGAAGACCTCAAAGTAACAACAGAAGGTACTGTATCATTTTATTTACCATTATTTCTGTTGACCAGGCTGTGACATGGTGAAGGATTTTCCGATTGCCAATCTATGTCTAAATACTGCAGATAATGTCAAAAGTAAAGGCAGTTCCTTGTGGTACAAACATGGTGAGTAAGTGTAGTGTCATATACCTCCAGTCCCAGAGTGAAGATAAAATGGGAAAACACCACTCGCCTCAGACTAGTTTACCAAAAGCTATATTGTACCTCTCACTGCCTGCCAAGCCTGTGCGGTACAGCCCCATATAAATCTATGGGGCTCGATTGCGCAGGCACAGCATGCAGTGAGAGGAGTTCAGACCAAGATGTGAACAATCCCCGGAGGCCAATGGCAACGGATCTCGGTAAGTATAAATCTGCAGAAGGGTAGGGTGGGCTCTGTGATGTAAGGGAGGAGTGCAGAAAGAGTAACTCACTTTATAAGCCTCTTGCAGTCTATCCTATTGACAACCCATGGAGGACAGCAGGGGAATGTCTTTGGCCACTGTGTGCAGAAACCCCTTTGACTTCGACCAGTCCAGCCACTGGCACATCCCCATCTCTGATTACATTTACAGATTAGTTTATATTAGTGGGCAGAGCATGTGTTACTAGAGCCCAACATGTTACTGGATCCCTCCTTCAGACCAGTGCCTAGATACCCACTCCCTGGTCACACTGCTTGACAGGAGCCACTTAAAGTGACATTAAAGGCAAAAATGTTTTTGCCTCAACACAACGTTAATTAAAGCACTCGCCTTAAATGATATCTCTTAATCCGATCATCATCTTCTTTCCTGTAGTTTTCAACCTTCTCTCCAGCGCTGCGGCGAGTCTCTGATCCAGCGCTGACTCCTCTGTGATTGCTGGCACTTCCTGTCCTACAGTGTCTGCATGCGGGTGCACGCGTCCATAGACTTACCTTGTGTCTCTCCTCGCGCCCCTGCCGAAAATGTGAACTGCGCATGCGCCCGCCACAAAATGCTTTGCGGCCGCCCGAGCAGTATCACATTTTCCGACGGGAGCGCGCAGGGAAGATACAGGTAAGTTTAAACCGCTGTTAAAGAGGGTTTGTTTTTTTTAAAACTTTTTGCATCTATCTACTGCTTGCTAGCAGTAGATAGATGCAAAAACACCGGAGGGTTTAGAAACCCTTTAAGCAAAAACTGCCATTAAAAGGTAGAGAAATAACACAGGAATGAGCTTTTCAGAAAAGAAATGCTAGTCCAGCAGTATTTCCTAGATGGGTGAATTTCAGCTTTAAGTGTGTGCTGCAAACGTACTCCCCTTGCACATGCGTACAAAATAAGGCATTTGCAGAAATGGACAGTGCATCTGCTTGTAAGAACTTGTATATTGGGATACTCTGTCAGCTCATCTGTGCTGCAATTGTGTTCACCTTAAATGTATAATGTGACTACAATAACCTGCCGCCTAGAGAGCAATACAAAATTCATCTCCGCAGGCTTATTTTATTTATCTACATGCAAATATCATAGCCCTTATTTTATCATAGGCCTAAACATGGTACCCGTTTCTTTCTTTTACTTTTCCTTTCTTTTCTTTTTCAGTTGGTGGACAACAGCGTAAGAGTCTGCTGATTAGAAATCTTGATCTGGGACCAAGTACAGTAGAATCACAGATGAGAACCATATTACAATGGATTGCTGCCTCAGAGTGTGATATTTCGGAGCTCTACTTTCCTGAGAATGCCATTAAAGACCACTTACTTGTAAGTTAACCTTTTATCCCCCATACAGTAGATGCACATTTCCTCCACTACATGCACAATTCTGAGTTACTCAGGGAAATTACATGCTTCCAATTGTAAATCACATGTAGTGGTTATTTCTAAAACACATTTTGAGGAAAGAAAATGCAAACAAAGGTTGTTTGCATAGCTACCAGTCAGGTTTCATCTGCTGTTAGGTAGGAGAGAAACACTTTCTCCCGAGCAGAGTAAACCTTTTTTGTCTGACATTGGGGGCCGTAAGTCAGAAGAAGAAAAAACACCCTTGGAATGCATAGCTAGATTCCTATTGGCTATTTCACTTTGCAATAGCCAATAGCAAACTAGCTATTGCACCCGCCCTCTGCTGCTGCCAATCAGCAGAGGGGGGACCTGAAGTTCTCCATCAGATGCCCACTACTGATTGACAGCAGCAGAGGGCGGGTGCAATAGCTAGTTTGCTATTGGCTATTGCAAAGTGAAATAGCCAATAGGAATCTAGCTATGCGTTCCTAGGGTGGTTTTTTATTCTGACGGCGTACACCAGTGGTTCTCAACCTGTGGGTTGCTGTGTGATTTCTGCTGTGCTAGGTGAGAGTTCTCCTCAGCCCTCTCCTAGCACAGCAGTGTCAGTTCTCCCGCAAGATGTCGCTGCAGCAGCTGCGTCATTCCTAAATTTTACCGTTGGGGTCACCACAACTTGGCAAATGTTAACAAGGGGTCCCGGCCCTAGAAAGGTTGAGAACCACTGATGTACAGTAATAATACATCTAGTCAGGGGCAGCAATGTTAAGCACAAAGCAGCCCTGCCAGCCCCACACTCGACATAGGTTCATTCCAGCTTTCTGCAATATAAGTTGAAGGTTTAAAGGAAATCTGTCACAAGAAAAATACATGGCTACCACTGCTAATTTTTATTAAAGCTCTTAAGGAAAGTTGGAAACAAGTTAAAAGTCTTTATTTCTATACTTGTGCTGGGTTAGTGACTCATTGAAGCAAGAGGGTCAGCATGACCGCCAGTCAACTATCCTTTTTCAGAAGAAGATGTGGGCATTTGCAGCCACTACTTATCTTGTAACTGTTTTCATGTGTCAAAATCACGGCTGATAACCCGCCAATAATTTTTAAAGTGATTTTTTTAAGTCTAATTTACAACACAGTGCTCTTGCCTCACGTGATTTAGATTTAGGAATTATAAATACAAAGAATCCTTACTTTCCTGGTGTAAATTCATCCCATATATACACTGTACACTTTGCCAGGCCTTTGCGGATAGTTGTGTTATGTAGACTGTCCTCCTTACCTAACCACTGACCTTAACTGTCCGCTATTAAGTCTCGCTTGCTTGTGCCAGTTTGGAAACGGTGCATTGAGACAGGTCTGTGAAAATAAATAAAACCCTATTTATTTCAGTCATTTACTTTGTGAACTGTAGTGCGAAAGGCTAATTCCCAAATAGAAAATCTGTTTTGGTTGAAGGTGGAGCAGAACCCAAAAAAACCACACTTTGCCACAATAGGAAAATCCACATCAATAATTAAGCTTATGTTTCTATGTGTGGTGTGAGGGTGCGGTAGGCAACGTATTACCCTTTTCTTCAAAATTTCCTGTTTTTTACCCTGCTTCAAAAACCCACAAACCACTAGATTGTAAAGGTTTCTATCTCAAAATATTTATCTTGACAATAAAAAAAAGAGAAAACATTGTAGATCCTCTGTGCATGAAAAACTTTAGCCTAGCATGAATTTGGGTTTAATATGTCCTCACTCATCCGTTTTTCTTTCCTCAGCTTTTCCGACGAATCCGAGAAAAAGGCTGGAAAACTGGTGACCTCTTGCAAGCTGTTCTTCAGTACTGTGAAAGCTCAGAGACGTCCTTACATCTCCCCAATCCATTGTTCGGCTGGCTTTTGGAAAAGGTTTAACAAGCACTTTATAGATGAACTTACTGGAAGACGTCAAAGGATATCTGTGGATATATCCACAAAAGGATATTTGAACTGACGGTTTTATAAATAAGCAGTTAATGCCAGAGCTTTGCATTGTGGAATTTGTGTGCACACACTTACATATGTGATTGGATGCATATCTTTGTGGTCGGTACCAAGATGTTTTAAGTATCCGTGCTGTTCTTGCATTAATTGAAGACATGTATTGGCACTAGTATCAGTTGGAGAGCACTGCTTTTAGCATCACATATCTGTATGAAAAAGTTGCTAATTTTGTAAAAGGTTTTACTCACAAATTCACTCAATGTCATTTTCTCTATTTCATTAAACCTTTAGTAAGAGAATAAGAAGGCTTCAATTGCTCACCTCGCCTGAAAATACTAGTCTCCTGGCTTTCTTCCTGTTCCACTGCAGTACTTAGAGGCATTGACGTGGAACGGGTATACAGTTCAATGATGCTGATCACTGCTTTTACTTCTTTCTGAGTCACAGACCTGGATACAATCAAAGGCCTCTTATACATGGGTGCTGTCCGTTCTTATCAGCAAGGGACCTGTGCACGGATTCCCTGCCGATCAGAGCAGAATGGAACACATGTCACTTCTGTGACATCTGTGTCCGTTCAGTTTTTTCCTCCTTTCAATGGAGGAAAATACTGAGCTGTACGGACTTATGTTAGGTCTCTGGGGAGTCAAATATAAGTGGACATGTGTCCATTTACATCCAGTTGCCTCCAATCATCATGATCAGGCCCGGCAAATTGGAATTCTGTTCTGTTTTTTTTTTTCGGACGTAGGAGTCAAGGGTAATCAGATGTAAATGGACACACCTACATTTACATCCAGCTGCCCATAGAGTTACATTGGGCTTCTGATCAGATCTGCCTGAAAAACTGATAGGTGGACGTGAACAAACCGCCTATGTGAAAGGGCCCTTTGGTATTCTTAGGTCATCAGTGGCAACATTTGGCAAACAGGAAATCTCTCTCTAGATGGCAATCATGCTGCTTGATGGTGTTGCCCTTCTATTAGACCTTCACGGATCAGCTGTCTTGGGGCCAGGTTGAGAGTAGCTACAAGGTTGCCAGAAGATGCTGAGCTGCACACTCAATGTTGATGAAAAGCCTAACCCCCTTTTCAGGTGTCCCTTTTATTATTATGCTAACAAACATCATCCACTACTGTGCTGTAGTTGATGTCATGTTTCATTGTGCTGACTCCATCTACTTTTTAATTGGACCTTTTCCTGCAGCTACAGCCATTGCTCATGGGGACCTACGAAGCTCTAGGCAGCTTTTGCTTATGAATACTTGTGCTCTAGCTAGCTTGCATATATTTGATCACCAGCAATGACAATAAAAGGTCCACTTCACAGTTAAGACCACTCATGCATATTAAAAACTGGTTTAACCTGGAAACTAGTTGGGTTTTATTTTATAGCACCTCACAAAGAGCTTTCAACTGTTTATTGGAAGCAAACTTGAGCCAGAATAAGGACAAATTTGGTCTTGCAGTGTGCATGTGCGAATGACTGGCTTCAAGGGAAATTCCCATCAGGCTCACAATGGATCAGGAAAAAGTGAAAATTTTGAAAACTTGGCTTAAGAGCCAGATTCATACTTGTTTGTTTTCGAGCAGTAAAACACATGACATTTACTGTATGAAAATGCATTTTAAGTAGAAATCACTTATAGGAAAACTAAAAGGGCCCATTCACACCTACTAAGGGTTTACATAACCCCCACACATTTATTTAAGTTTTTTGTCATATGACCAAACAAGCGCTTTCGGAACCGCACAGGGTCCCTTCATCAGGCTTTAGCATTGACGATGCTAAAGCCTGATGAAGGGACCCTTTGCAAGCTTCTCTCTCAATTTCAGTAACCACAAACTCTTACTGTCCCCATTGAAAGACTAAGGACACAATGAGCTTCCTCTCATTAACATACAATGCTTCTGGATTTGAAACCCTTTTGTTGGGGACAAACATTGCTCAAATCTAAGTTACAAATGATGAGTACTGCCAGCACAGTACAGGCAGGGTTAATTATAATACCATTACCCCACCTCGTTGCATTCCAGAGGGAAATTCACGACAGAGATCAACTTTTCTTTTAGAATTGAGCGTGTTTTGTGCAAGTTATACTATGTTAAGGAGAACCATATAACAAATATAAAATAGGTTCTTATCCCAATTTAGCTGCAAATTTGGAAATCATTTTAATTTCTGTTCCTCACATGTATGGCCAACTTGTAAAAATTTACTGGTTAGTTAGCCTAAATCGCTCTTTTATTGCTCTTAACATCACAAGCTCCATTTACATTCTCTTGTTCTGGTGTTATTTATCTAATGCCACACCTTCATTACCTCATAACTCTCACATCTCAAAACATAAACATGTATAAAATGCTTTATTTCGTCCACTTTTGCCACTACTAGTGTTATTATATTACTGTTAGTGATATTTTATCATTCCATAAGATTGAATCAACGTAAAACTCATGTCACAAAGGGCATCACATCGTACAATGACAGCATATTCAGGGTGCTGATAACTGGAAACTTTAATAGCTGTCTATGGAGAAGGGAAGGAAAAGCAGCGATTGAAGGTGGTGATAAAATAATAATTTACAAGAAAAAAATAGATTAGTGTTCATGTGAAAAAGTAAAAGATAACACATCTTGGTGACATTTATATTAAAGGAAGAATCCGGCTGCACTCCATTCCATGCTGAATCAGTTTATTGAAAATGTGTCGGTGACCTGGAGTCCTGTCTGAGGTCCGCTCACTCTGACATGTTTCACCCAATCCCAAGCTTCTTCATAGAGATTTTGGTGACATTTATGTTTGTGAATAGAACATTTTTAGGAGGAAATTATTATAAGGTAAAAGCAGTGGTATAATAATAACTTATCCATGTTGGTGATTTGAGCTTTATGTAGATAAGGTGAAACCCTTGTTAGCAAATATTGGACATTTTCAGAAAACAGTCAGTTTGCAAACATGGCCCTAAACATAGTGATTGATTTACTAAACGCAAAGGCTGCTCACTTTCCTAGGGAATTTTCACTTAGCTTAGTGAATAAAGGAAAGCTCTGCTGACTTCCAGCATTCAATCATGTACAAACAAAAATGCTTTTTTACTTGCACATAATTGGGTATTGTTTGCAAAGTGAATTTTGTACCACATTCATTAAGCTAAGGGAAAGTTACTTTGCAAAGTGAACATCCTATTTGTCTTCAGTAAAGCAACCCCATAATTCCCTATGTACGCTAACAGGCTAGTTAAAATGTTTAAATGGGGGGGATCCAATTGTTGGGCAGCACCAGGAAGGGCACCTTTGAGAAGATCTAGCACATCTTCTATCGTCTTTATGATGAATGCAGTTATTTTGTGTTTCCGATGATATGGAGTTTGCTGTATGAGCAGCCAGTTAGAATCCTGCAGAAATGACTGTTGGAAGCTGACTGGTTGCTATTCTTGCTAGCATACTACTCTTACATAAGCCTGACACTTGCATTAAAGCTGGATCATCACTGTAAATGGAAGACAACAATAAGCTTATATTAAGGTGTGTTTTTTCCCTGTGATACTAATCCATTATTAACCTGGCAACATTTTAAAATACATTTCAGTAATGAAATCTATAGAATTAGCGTATCAGACTGGGTACGCAGTACTCAGATATGGCTATATTACAGATTATAAATATTTATCATCATAACTGTGCATGCTTTTATTCCAATTTATACTTGATAGATTGTCTACAGTGTTCACAGATTTATTCACAAAATAAAGCCACCACTATTCTACATTAAATTTAGAGATTTACAAGGTTTATTCACTTACCACTTCAGGGCTTTGTGATTTTTTTTTTTTTTTAAAAAGGTCTGCAATTAAAATGGTGTACCCCTCTCCCTCGTACCAACCAACCATTATTTCCTTCTTTTCAGGTATGGTAATATGAAACAAATGATCTTACTAGTTGCTATAGAAATAGGAGCTGTTCTGGAATTCATCCACCAAATTGATAGCATGACTTATAACGTACTAGAAAACTGCTGCTTTGTGGCTGACTAAGACATATACCGGTATGGACAATGTAATCTGTAAATGAGCTATCGAAGTGTTTTTTAAGAAAAACAAAGAAGAGTTAAACAATTGCCGCACAGGTGCAAACTCAATAAACAGCTGTGTGCATTCGCAAAAAAACATGCATGCCACTTATTGTATTTATAATTTATTACAAAGCTCTATTGTCTCATTTTAATGAGCACATGCTGTTAAAAAAAATCAGTAACATTTGTAATAATATGGATCTACTGAATTTACCACATATTATATTCACACAAATTATCACAGTTTTTGCTCCTAAAAGTACCATTTGGCTGATGGTAACAGTGAGTTTCTGAACAAAATAATGAGCCGTCTAATTTACAAGTAGCAATAAAATAAGTTGTTAAAATAATGCTTTTTGAGGAATAGGCTTTCAATAATTAAATATTAATTTCATGCTGGAAAAACAAGGATTTCACATCCCTGTGTAATTTATAAGAATTTAAGAAATGTAAAATAACTCCTGTGGCTTTGTGAGTTGATGCTGCTTTAGGCATATTACTCCTAATTGAACATAGGAGCCTTTAGCAGGGGACCCGAACATTCAGTAAAACATTTCAAAGCGTAAACATGATACACAAATTTTAGTAATACTTAGCAAGCACTGTAGCCAGATCAGGGAAAGATATATTCTTATTGTCTATATGGGTTGGTATAGTCTTTCTTTTATGATTGTTGACTTGTAAATTGCTCATTTAGGGCACGTAACATTTTTGCTTCATAGCAGACATTGGAGTCAACCTCTACTTACATTCCATGTGCTCTCCGCTTGCTCACTTTGACTGCTAGAGCTCCCTCAAAAAAACCCAGCCAGTGACTGCTTGACCTCCTACTTGCTGTATTTTACAATTTTCAGCTTGTGATCTGTCATTGTACCTGAAAAAGAGCTGTAGCTACTAAAAGGTATCAATTTTGACCACTTTTATGCTTTCTCTTCTACCTACAATGTAGTCCTTGCTGCTGAACTGGCTAAGTACAGTCACGTAGGGTGGCAATGTCCCTTTGTACTGTTTGTTAGGATGCAGTAAATGGGGAAATCTGGAAGGTAAGTTACCAAGGCTGTGATCTGATCCTGTTACTTTGCACTGGATGTACACACTGGGTACGTGTGTGTGTATGTATGTATGTATGTATATATATATATTATATATAGTGTAATGTATATGGGTAAGCCGTATTAGTCCAGTAGAGAAGATGTATAAAAAAACAAAACGGAGTATTGTAGTA